TTATTTATTTATAGACAATCAGTACACACACAAAAATTTAGAAAGCCATAATATTCAAACGACTATCAATACAACAAAAGAAGTGGCTTATACTGACAAGGGTAAATATTTTTCTTATATTTCTTCTTTTTCATAAGAATGGCAATAAGTAAATCATTTTATACATTTTTTAATCGTCACACTTTTTCCCTGTTTTTATATCTATACTTTGCACAAATTCTATGCAAAATAAGAACGTGTAAGAACATTAAAACTTGCTTATTATTTTTGTTTCAGATATTTTGACGATTATTCTTACAAAACAAAATAAAATCATACACCAAAATGACATTATATTAAGCAAATTATCAGCGATACAGAACATGCAATTACAAAATAATGTTATTGATTCTGTTGTGTTTCGGTAAAACTGAGCGTCTCCTCAATCCGAAACGAGGCCCGGTTTCCGCCTCGATTGAGACGCGAAGGTAGAGATCGGGTTGTGATAAGCCTTGTATCCGCGTCCGCTCAACTGCTCGAGGACAGTGTTGATAGATCTGCTCCCTTTTCGGGCATGCGCAGTGCAATATGGCATCAGTGAAGTAGTAACCTCTGATATATAAAGGTCCTGTAAAGGCCCTATTTTTATATGTCTATAAAAATTATAATTTTTGGATCCATAATGCACACCTAAATTGTAATAATATTAACTAAAATACTTATACCAACTTATCTTACCTTCATATTGGTTATAATCCTCTTCGCTGCGAGGTTTCCGCCGGCCGTCCTGCCAAAACAATAAGCTCCCACTTTCTGAGCATGTAGACGTTACTGCATTCCACTAGATCTGCACTGCGCATGCCCGAAAAGGGAGCAAATCTAACAACACTGCTCGAGGATCCCGAGGATCGAGTCACGATAGCACTAGAGATTGCTCTGGATCCACCGATGGGCCGAGGTAGCGATCGGACAAAAAGAAAACCGTTGAGATGACAAGGAACTTGGGCAAACGGAGCCAGAGGACGGTCACGAAACACACTGCGAGACAAAGCAAGGGGAAGGCAACGACCACGGGTGTTGTGATGACGGTAAGAAATTTAAATAGAGGACAGGGGCAGAGGATGATTTGCGATTTACAGAGGATTTCAATTTAGTCGACGTTGACTCAGAATTTGTAGATTCAAGTGAAAACGATCTTCGAGATATTCCACAGATCACTCATTATCGACAACCTCCCCTGACTTTATTAATAAACGATACATGAGAACTGTAATAGATTGAGATGAACATTTAGTGACGAAAATACTTTGAAGAAATGCTGGAACGGATGAGGACAAGGAAACGCGCTGGATCCTTGTTCGACCGACACAAGTAGCGAACTCCAGCGACGGTAATTCCGCTCGACGCGTTCAACGCTGCTGAAACGCGGTGGAACTTTACGCAGAAACCAAAGTCGCGCGCGGATGGATTTAGATCGTTTATTTCCCCGATGCAACGACCGTTGAAAGATGCGCTCACTATCTGAGTATTCAAGAGAAAACCGACTTGCAACCGAAATCTCGTCCTGCTTGACAGCGACTGACTTTTTATAATCGATCGCGACTAGAAGCGAGAGTTTCCCGAACCGAGCCTCGGATTCGGCGAAACGGCTGCGAATCAGCTGTGCCGCTGGCGCTCGCGCGACACGATAACGACGTGATCGCGGCACAGCTGACTCGGTGCGCCGCACGATCGGTGTTTTTCGGCGACGAGCGGCACCCGAGCGACGGTGCTCGAACATGTTGAATTGCCTCAAAATGTTAAAGATGAATTATCCAAAATCTTTATTATTAAAACCGTTGAAAATTTAGAATCGTTTTGTGACGAAGGCGACAGGGGAGGCGCAAGCGCGAGAGAGAACGCACTACCGGGTGCGAGTGAGCGATCGATAGCGGCGCGGTTGCCACGTTAGCTTGAGCCGGCAACGCCGCGCCTGCCCCCGCCGCCTCTACCCGCGCGCCTACACTCCGGGGGTATAAAAGCCCCTCCGGAGCAGGCGATTTAAGTCAGTCTTCGCTCGGAGCTCCGAGCGGAGACAACCGGCAGTGGGTGCCTCCACTGCGGTATACGCCGAAGTATATGGGTGCTCCTGTCCAGTGTTCCCAGCCGTGAACGTTAGCATGGACGGTGCCGCGGCGGTGGGGATGGAGTGGGGATAGTCGGTCTGGCCACGCCTTCGCGCGCACGCTCGCACACAAGCAACACGTCGTAAAAACGTGTGCGCTCGACGCTTGGCTACGACGTGTTGCTTGTGTGCGAGCGTGCGCGCGCAGGCGTGGCCAGACCGACTATCCCCACTCCATCCCCACCGCCGCGGCACCGTCCGTGTTAACGTTCACGGCTGGGAACACTGCTCCTGTCTTCGGCTGTATACCATCCCGGAGCGCATGACAGTGGAGGCGCTACTCCGTCGTGTGCCCCGGCCCACAGTAACGTACACCTAACGGGGTGCTCCCCG